CTGGACCTCGACCGGGAGCCCAAGAAGGAGGCGGTGAGCGGGGCTCCGCCCGGGGGCCTCGGCGCGGGAGGGGGTTGTTTGGGGGGACGGGGGGGCGACCACAGGCCCCCTCGCTGGGACAGGCGGCCATGGGGCCAGCCCCCCGGAGCCCTAGCCAGGCCCGTCCGCCTGCTGCAGGTGAAGAGCTTCATCGAGACGCAGAAGGCGCTGCTCACGGAGATCCAGAATGGCTGCAAGCGCAACTTCGTGCTGGCGCGGGAGCGGGAGGAGAAGGAGCAGCGGCTGCAGCTGTCGGCCTCCATGCCCGAGATCACTGTCACCGAGCCCCAGCCAGAGGAGCCTGAGGGGCCAGGGGACGAGCCCGCCACCGAGGCGCAGGAGAACGGGGCCCCTGGGCCCAGCCCGGCCTCAGACTCAGACTCAGACTCTGACCAGGAGGAGGACGGGGAGAGGGCGGAGGCCCCCTGCCCTGCCCTGGTGCCCACCACGGACTCCCTGGGCCCCGGGGACAGGAGCCCTCCCCCCGCCCCCACCGAGCAGCGCATTTCTGTGTCTAGCCCTGGCCGGGGCCACAAAGTGTTTGTGGTGACCCGGGTGGAGAGTCCTCCTGAGAAGGCCGACCCCCCTCTCCCACCCCCCTCACCCTCCACCCCTGTGTCTCCTTGTCCCCCCTCCCCCGCTGCCCCATCTTCCCCGCCCACCTCACCTGCCCTACCGCCAGCTGAGGCCGTGGGCACCCAGGACCCGGCGGGGGCTGAGCCTCAGCCACCACCAGAGCCGCCTCTGTCAGGGCCGCCGCTGCCCAACGGCCTGAAGCCTGAGTTTGCCCTCGCGCTGCCGCCAGAGCCACCCCCAGGGCTCGAGGCCAAGGCGGGCAGCTGTGGCCTGGAGCATGGTGAGGAGCGCTCGGGGGGTGGGGGGCGGCAAGGGGCCCCAGGGAAGCACCTGCCCACTGGTGAACCTCTTTCCCCTCTCAAAAATGGCCCTTCGGGGCGGTAACTGTGGGAGCTGATCCGAGGCCCCCACTTGCTCCCTGGGGCGGGGTCACCAGATTTGCTGACTAGCATCTGCAGATCTTGGGGTATCTGGGCCTGTGCCCCCAGCCTGTCTGGCTTGGGGGTGGGCTGCTAGCTGTCCCCTTCCCCTGCCCGACTGGTGGCCTCTGTCCCTTCTCCCCACACAGAACTGAGCTGCTCCAAGAACGAGAAGGAGCTCGAGGAGCTGCTTCTGGAAGCCAGTCAGGAATCTGGGCAGGAGACACTGTGACACTTTAGGTGAGGCGAGGCCAGGGGGCCAGGGCAGCCGGGAGCGGCCCTCAGAGCCCTGGGCTGACAGGCCCGCCCCGATCTCTTCTCTCCGAGATCCTTTTTTCCGGTCCGTCTTCGACGAGCTGAGGCCAGAGCCATGAGAATCTGCTCACCTCACCCCCAGCCTTCCTGTGGCCCAGGACGCCGGGGGTGAAGGGGGGCCCTCCGGGGACCCCGCCCCCCACAGCAACACTACATGGCGCGCAGGAGCACAGGGAGTGGCCTTCCCACCCTGACTTCAGCACTTCCGTTTGTGGACCCGGCCCTCGAGGACTCTGGTCTGGGGGCGACGGGAAGATGAGGGAGAGAGCAGAATGGGGAGGAGGTGGGCGCCGGGGGTGTCAGCCACAGGGCCAGCACTTGTACCAGCGGCGGGCAGGAGCCCTGGATGGTGGCACTGTGTGACCCACTGGCCCCAGGCCGAGGCCCAGGCAGGAGGGGCGGTGCAGGGTGGCGGCGGTGGAGGTGCAAGCTCCAGAATGGGTGGGGCCGGGCCCAGGGTGGGTGGGGGAGAGGGGAGCAGAGGATCAGAGCTTTCTTTACTTAAGTGCAATAAATCCATCAGGGAGCCGGGGTCAGGGCAGCGGG